ATGGCGCCACAGATAGGACAGTGCACTGCTCGTACGTTCGGCGATGGGTCGTAGGCACAGAAGGTATGAAACATTGCTTCACATCTACAGAAAACCCAACCAACCGCATCACCGGTTTCACATGGAGGCTGCGCAAGATTACAGATGTCGCAGAGTCGATTCTCGTCATCCTGTTCTTCATTTTCGATGTCCCGTTCAGTTAACTCTTCGGAGTTAATAGAAATTACTTCCTCCTCATCGTTACTGAGCGTTTCATCCAAATCAACAGTTCCTCGTTGTATAAACGGCACTGCTACGTTAGTCGAGGTTCTTGAAAGGGTGTACGAATGCTGTTCTACATGCAAGTTTACTGGCGTTGTTGGTAGTCTACCGTGAACTATGAAGTCATGAAGTGAACTGCATTGTTCCTCCGACATTCGCCTGATTAACGCTATCACTGCATTCTTCATGCTTGGCTGACTCAATTGCATTGGGAAATAATTTTCAACTGCAATATGAGTCAGATAACCATCATAGTGTAACCACCTGTCACAAATTGACTGTACGTTCACATCGGTGTTACTGTGTGTGCAGTAAGCCAATATGTGACGGCATGGTAATCCGTTTTCAATGAAGAATGGACACGAGCACCGGCTAGTATCGACGTGTACGTAGTACGTCCCCGTGGCGTCCATAGCGGTGAATAAATCTTCCGTCAATGCAGACTGCGTTATAGGAATGCGAAGGTGTCGCTTCAGTAGTTGACAGGCAACTGGTGTCAGTCGTTCCTGAAGTCGACGTACTTCCGGCTCCTCACCAATATCGGCTTTCCCCCGACAATCCATTGAATATTTATGTAATCTTGCTTCCATCCAATATCCAGTACGAAGCAGCACATTGAAAATGGATCTGAGAACCGGTGTTTTTCGATTAAGGTGATACATCTTCAAGACTCGGTGACTGGTCTCGACGAAGTTAGTATTGCTCAGTTCAAAGAGAGTGGATGGCGGTCGAAAAGCAGTGGACCATTTGTGTTTCCGTGGTAGAAGGTGGTCTCTGACGTATCTGCCAAACGTTCCGTCCGACATTTCGATTAACGAAAGTACGTTGTTAAAACTACAAAATCATGTTATGTAGATTTTGATTTACCTTTCAACCGTTCGAGTGAACATGAGGCGAAAGAACAGTTGTACAATTTCTGATCGCACCCTCTACAATAACGGTTACTGGGTTAATGTTAATGAACGAAACACTTACCCTCTTTATCACATTCCGAACAAGGTGTACGCGACACAGAATATGGTGTGCATCCGGATACACCTGCGTAATAGCAGCAGCAATTGCAGGTGAATCATCGGTCACAATGCCTACCAGTTGTCGACTGTTGGTACACCGTTGGAAAAAATGCAGGAAGGCAGAAATTAATGTTGACGTTTCGCGACTTAAAAAGGCAATGCACATGGGTATTGCTTTAAAATTCATATCCAGGGCAACGACTTGATATAAATGGACGTTCTCGTTATTCGTTTTGTACGTCCCGTCAAAACCAATTACGTCACAAAAGTGACCGGCCAAATTCACTTGTTCAGCGGTCATGAAGAAGAAATACGATAGACAGTTCTCATCGTCCAATTCGTATTCGCAAAGCCCACCCAAGGATGTTATGTGAGCTTTCAATTTCCCGTAATCACCTATAGTGTACATTATAAATTGGCAAATTCCGTACCAGGAAGGTTCGCGTGTGAGAACACTTTGTACCGCATATTGCAGACATCTTGAGCGGTCAGACATTTGCCATAAGATTGGTAAGCAAAATTCTTTATGTGGAATGCAGCGGTACCGGAAATCAGCAGCGGTCTCACAGTTTCAAACTCCCCATCCGTTAACCTGCGCACCCATGAATTACCCTGGTACCTCAGGGAATTGCACTCGTGATTGTGATGTACATTCCCACGTACAACAGTCCAATAGCCGTCTATAATCTTACAAAACATAAATGCTGGACATTGGGTGTTCATAGAAGCCCTTCGTTCAAAAAATTATAAAACAATTTACCAAATTACCTCCTCCGTCTAATACGTTGTGACGAACCGCTAGATCTTATACGCCCATTTCGCCAACACACAAATTTAATGTAGGATTTTTGATCTCTGCCAATATGCGAATCTCTCACTACATAATGACTGTAAGTCGATCTTTCAAAATTTGTGATAGTGGTCTTTAACGCTTCAACCGATGGAAACGCAACCAGAAACAAGGTAGTCAAAAAGACTTCCTCCATTTCCGTTACGTGAGAAACACCAGCGCTTGTACTCGGCACGTTACTCTGCTCCATAATGACGATTGAGATTGTGCTTCGTCGACAAGTACTGATAATTTATAACAATTTTCAAGACATAACTAACCAATTAAATCTAATTTTTGAAACTAGCCATTTCATTGGACGAAACACGGGATGAAAAATATTGTAATTTTGGGGTGGAAAATTTTTTTTATGGGGTGGGGTTTTTTTTTTAAAAAAAATGGCCGGTCGGACAATATTATTCCAATTTAAGTCATCCAGTATTCATGAATGTAAATGTATTTTGGACGAAACTTATTTTTTGGTTGAGACTATAATTTATGGATGAACCAATCAGATAAAAAAATAGGTCTTGAATTTTAGAGAGAAATTCATTTAACCAATTGGTTTAATAACGTCATGGCATTACAGCTGTTGTCAATTCGTGATGAAAACTCAAAATCTAGTTTCTAAGCCTAACCATCAACTGTAAATCTTAATCCCGATACCTCACACTGGTTTATAAACCTCATTTTGCCGTGGTATGTAGGTGGACACTCTCAAGGTGCTTTCGGCGTCGCTCAAGGGTCGTCCAAAACTTAAAGTCACACCATTTCTTGTTTATGTATTTTCACAAAAATACCAATTTCAGAAAATGTTAATAGGAAAAGCAAACAAACTACATTATTGTTTTGGAATAAGAAATCACCGTGTTAAAAAATAAATTCCGTAATTTCGTAGACTGTTCACCCTATCGGTTACAACTTCATTACACTTTGTTATGACTACATTTCTCATTGTTATGGTCACATTTTCTTACCCATTCACTATCATAATATTTCGATTACTACTAGTGAAAAAAATGTTTATTTCAGAAGTTGACCTACACAAATTACTATTATTATTATTATTGTCATTGTTATTATTATTATTATTATGTTTCGTCCAATCCAACAAGTTTCATTCAGTATGTTGCATAACATATTTTCATTTAAATTGTTAACAAAATATCCTCAATGTGAAAACATTCAGAATATACAACTGAATTACGAGTTCTGAAAACTGTTAATGATTTGTAGTGAACACAGTGTAGTTTTGTGAAATTTCAACGCATCTATTTCTGAGAACACAATCGAACACATTTCCGTGATGGAGGATGTTGGTTCGCACAACTTTTCTGTTGTCTATCAGCATCAAATCATCTCGTAGTTTAGCTCATCAAACTGGTAACCACAATATCTGAGCCATTACATTCATGGTTCGTGTGTAGTGAGATTGGAATTGTGCAATGTTTGCACTCATGTTTTCCATTTCCAAACACGTCAACTCCACACTGTTGTTATTTGAATAGAAGTAATCTACCACTGTCTTCACAAACATGCATTATTAGTTTCTATCACCTCGTTATATTCAATTAATGTCAAATATCTTGTATATTCTTGTTATTTCTTATGTTTTTTTGTGGTTTATCCAATGTTATATTTGATTGTAGTTTCAGGCAGTTACTAGTTGATGTGAATCTGTGAAGTAGAATGAATTCCATTTGTTTAATTAGTCATGTTATTCTTGCTTTGTTGAAACCTACTAATATGTCATGTTGTATGAGACAAATTAGTGTTGAAACAGGTGATTTATAACTGTCGAAATTCAATCAAGCAAATATCTTGTATATTTTGTTACCGTGTAATTGAGTCATTTTAAAACACTTAGCTACTTCATGGAACGTAGAAATATTACGAACCTACAATTAATGTGTGAGTTTTGAAATTTGGTACTCATTTTTAGGGAATAGTGTGCAGTTTTAATAATACCCGACGTATTTATTTTCGAATATATAGAACAATACATGTTAGTTTATAAGTTTTTATCAGATTATTTATCCTCTCATTTATGTGCTACAGCTTGTCCGAACTGTTCTGTTGAATTGAATATCGCATTATATGTTCTGCAAATGCATACCTTACCATCTACTGTGAGACACTCTATTTCAACATTTTTATATTGCTTACTTGTATTACACTCACTTTTCCTCAAACTGCGTTATTATTATGGATGGTTGCTTGACAAGGCTGACATAGCATAGGAATGTTTCGTGAAATAAATCCCGCTCAACTATACATGTAAGCTATGGGAATAAAAGTAGTGTTCTGTAGACGATCTTGTACTCCACAGCTGGAGAATCATAGATTTCTGAAAGCTATTTTCAACATATCAAAATTCTTTATCTGTAGATATTTTCAACACATTATTTTCATTAGAAAGTTTGTTATTCTGATCAATTTGTTTGTAACTTTCTTCTAATTTTTGTAAAGTATGTTGTATGCCATAAAGTATTACTAACATTAAAAGTAGTTGAACTGTTGCACTAATATTTGGCTTCTATTTTTTTTATTTTCTATTTGGATTTTCAAAAAAACTTATTAGTTGGATTATCCTTCCATCTCGATTCCTTATATGTACATTAATTGTCTCTGAGGCTACTGTGATCATTCGCTCCTACTAAACAAAGGCCTATACTTCGTTTTCGTAACCTTGACCCCGGAATATAATTCTTTTAAAAATTAGAAACTGACAGAAATTGTGAGAGAAAACAAACATGTATGAAATTATAGGAATATACTTCATTAGATTACAAACTGCAATTTCTTTCGATAATTTCGTCAATATAAGCTTAAAACCAGTTTATTTTAGAATGGTACAAATAAAGAAATTCAAATATTTAAAGTGATTCGAAACACAACTTAAATATAGTTGAGAAATGATGGAAAAGTAGACAATTTTATTTTTTATTATCCAATCCATATAAACACTGGTCACTTGCAGCAGTCGATGACAATCCAATCTTTCGCCAGTCACACAAACTAATTTGATTATCGTTATTCCCACAGGCTAATAATTTGTAGTTTAATGACTTAAGAAATTTATCCTGTTAAAAGAAATCAAATAAAGTAACTTTAATGATGTATCTATGTATCAAGCGAAAAATTCTCATATAATCTGAATAACTGCTTTGAATTTTGACCCTAAGTACGTAAAAACACAAGTTTATAATTTCAATCATATTATGAGGAATGCCTCCGTCAAATCTTATATTAACCAATGTATGAATTGATGGGAACAAACAATTAAAAAAAAGTAAACGGCTTTTATTTTGGTATCAGAGAGGAGGCTTCATATTTTGTGAAGTTTCATTTCGAAGAAATTAAAAACGTAAGCAATTTTCCTACAGATAAATAAAATCTGTGTCATTATTTCTGTATGCTTTAAAAGCCACTTCGTTGTACCATCAATTACCTTATCTAGTGTAATTACAATAAATGAAAATACTTTTTTCGAAAAAAACTAGCAAGATTGTTACGAATAATGATTATATCCGAACCCACAATAGCGTATTATCTGGTTACAGTCAGTTTATCACAAATCACTCTTAAATTATCTGTCAATCACTAGTCTAGCTTTAAAAAAGAAAGAATAGTTATGATTATTATCAATTCTTTTATTAAAATTTTCATCCCCAAGAGTTTGTCTTAATCCACAATTACACTTTACTATAAACTAACATATTTGAACGAATGTAGTAATCTTAAACGAATACTCTGATCAACTGTTTATCACTATATTGTCTCTAGATTTGATAATGAATCACAAGTACTTATATTGGCAATCTAACTTGTTAATTCAAATCTATTTTATTTGTGTACATGTTACTACATTCTTCACATCTATTAATAATCTATCTAGCGTAAAATGATAGTGTACTTACTTACATATAACCATTATATTTCCAAGTTTTGATTGCTAAAAAAACACAACTAAGTTGACATTCTGAAAGGATTCAAACTTTATGATGATGAAATTCTTATGTCAAAATATCAAGTTTAAATTGAATTTCTTTACTATCCAAACTGACAAATTAAGTTGGTGTTTAAAAAGAGACGGATTTTAACTGAAGTAATCAAATACTTTCTATGTTACATAATGCTAACGCATTTTATTTATTCATTGTGTAAAGTTATTACTGAATAATAACTATGAACAAGATTATTTCCCACTAGTATGTTTTTGTTTTGAACTGACTATAACTAATTGTAATTAACAAAATAACTTCGACAAATAATCCACATCATTGGAGTCTAAAACACAGTTTTAAAGCACCTCTTTAATAGAGTTTACATTCAATGTTTGGTCAAAATGAAACTTACGGAATTTGATTTCACATCCCAAAGTAAATAAAGAGATCCAGATGGTGTATGACGTTCAAAGTGGTCACTAGAAGATTTAATAATATCATGATCAATTTCCACACTATCTGCAGATCTCATAATAGAAATATAAGTGGTATCCACCTTGTTCCCGGCATGATGTTGATAACATTGACGTACAAAATCAAGCACGTTAGAAATAAAATAGGGTGCATACATATCACCTAACTTTTTCATTGGAAGAACTAAATTTACACCACTGATATTACTTTCAACACTTTTGCCAACCAAACTGACCTACAGGAATTTAAAAAAAGTAGTTAAATTCAAGGCATTTATAACCTGCTGTTTTTTATTCATTAAAAATTTCAATAAACTGACTTATTTAAATCTGTATTGTATACAATAAAATACAAAAGGATAAACACAGTAACTTACAGTGGAAATACTTTTATCGGCGTCTTTAAATGCCATATACATATGTGTATAATAAGATGCATATGTTAATGGTAAAAATTTAACTTTCACTTCATTTGAGTATGTGCTATTTGTTAAATATTCAACAGCTTTATAGTAAATAGTCGAGCGTAATGGTAGAACAAATGTTTTATTTAGCTGATTACAAGTGATGAACATAATATTCTGTAAACAGTTGAATAAAACGAACAAGTATAAACTTTTCATTTTTCTTTGAGAATAGTCTACAAATGCAGTAGAATTCTTTGTATACTGTCTATTCTTAATCAAATCAAATACGTAATAACTTTAAAGTCTAAGAATGAAATTCAGCTTTTATAGTCAGATAAAATCTTGAGACAAAAAGTACAACCCAGTAAATAGGTTAACCAATGCTAATCTCTGACATATTCCTATCCCTCATAAATTACTGTTGTAATTTTTCTCACCACTAACATTCATCAATTGACCTCATTTGTTTATCCGTTAGTTTTTTTTTCCAAAAGTTCACTATCGATGAATACACCACATTAGAATGGGGAAGGCAATAAACTAATGAAACTGTGTGCTTGAAAAAAAACATTTTGATTGTGTTATTTTTAATCCAGAATTTAGTTTAGTAGTGTTATCACCAATATAATGGACAATAATAATAATAATAATAATAATAACAACTCACTGATTATTTGTGGCTTATTCTTTAAGCAGAATCTATGGTTCCATACGATGTCAAATAAACCGTGCTATTTGAATTTGTTTATTTCTATCATTTGTACTATTAATAAATGACCTCAAGTGCCATGATGCATATATTTTTAGTGAATAATATGTAATATTGAAATGATGAAGTCAATTTATTGTTCTATTCATATATATATATACAATTGTAACTTTCAAGTCTTCTCATGTGTCTTCTTAGTAAGTACAGGAAACTCTAGATTATGGTCTCCCTTATCGTGTACTATTTGACACTAGCTAGATGGTGATGTTATCAATCAATACACGAACACACTGTGACTTCAGTATGATGTTGTGAACTCTTAAGAATTATACTATATTTCTATGTTTGCTTTACTTATTTATTAGGTAAATAATGGCATTCTGGGAACTGTCCCAAAATACATGACAAGAAAGATGTCAATGAAATCCTGGTACAATTAATAAAGTCTATTTCCTCTACTAATAACTGTTTTCGAAACGATCTTGTGAATTTTAATTTAGTTCGATTCAATAAGTTAACTGTTATAAGGAAATCATACAGCAGTAAAAAATTTGCTTGCATCTACATAATACCTACTTATTACTTGATAAAACACATTTTGAACTAGTCGAATAGTTACTAGCCTATATCGTAGCAACCCATTATGTCAGTTACCTGACACTAATAGGGACAACTAACCAACCAATTAGTGCAAGAGAAATGTCGCTAATATGGCAGATCGAAAATATAACTACAACCAAAAAGAAACAAATGACTCATTCTCCTATTGGATGTCAAAGAGATCCAGTTACATGAGTACACTGGAAATAAAGTATAATCGCGGAACTTGTTGTGATATATTATTGACTTAGAAAATTTCAAATATTAATCGGTGTTGATAAGTTTTAGGTAAGTGAAGAATGAACGCTTTGCAAATTTCGAGTGATATTAATTTGACAGGAAAACTGTTTTTAGTATACTTTTAAATAAATCTACGTTACATGCGGTAGCTAAATGTTTTTAAATGACTCAATTACACGTGTTGTATGGTGGGGCCTGTTACTCCTCGTGAAGCAAAATAGGCAGATCACCAGCATTCGCCATCCAACCCTGTACTGTGCAATCTTTTCCCGCACCTTCCAGTTCCTATTCATCCTTTTCATATCTGCTTCTATTTCACGACGGTAACAAAATATACAAGATATTTGCTTGATTGAATTTCGACAGTTATAAATCACCTGTTTCAACACTAATTTGTCTCATACAACATGACATATTAGTAGGTTTCAACAAAGCAAGAATAACATGACTAATTAAACAAATGGAATTCATTCTACTTCACAGATTCACATCAACTAGTAACTGCCTGAAACTACAATCAAATATAACATTGGATAAACCACAAAAAAACATAAGAAATAACAAGAATATACAAGATATTTGACATTAATTGAATATAACGAGGTGATAGAAACTAATAATGCATGTTTGTGAAGACAGTGGTAGATTACTTCTATTCAAATAACAACAGTGTGGAGTTGACGTGTTTGGAAATGGAAAACATGAGTGCAAACATTGCACAATTCCAATCTCACTACACACGAACCATGAATGTAATGGCTCAGATATTGTGGTTACCAGTTTGATGAGCTAAACTACGAGATGATTTGATGCTGATAGACAACAGAAAAGTTGTGCGAACCAACATCCTCCATCACGGAAATGTGTTCGATTTGTGTTCTCAGAAATAGATGCGTTGAAATTTCACAAAACTACACTGTGTTCACTACAAATCATTAACAGTTTTCAGAACTCGTAATTCAGTTGTGTATTCTGAATGTTTTCACATTGAGGATATTTTGTTAACAATTTAAATGAAAATATGTTATGCAACATACTGAATGAAACTTGTTGGATTGGACGAAACATAATAATAATAATAATAACAATGACAATAATAATAATAATAGTAATTTGTGTAGGTCAACTTCTGAAATAAACATTTTTTTCACTAGTAGTAATCGAAATATTATGATAGTGAATGGGTAAGAAAATGTGACCATAACAATGAGAAATGTAGTCATAACAAAGTGTAATGAAGTTGTAACCGATAGGGTGAACAGTCTACGAAATTACGGAATTTATTTTTAACACGGTGATTTCTTATTCAAAAACAATTGTGTTTTTCGAAACAACTATTTTAAAATTCTTAGAGAAACTATTCCTTGGAATGTTTTTATGAATGCCTGGTAATGCGACGTTTTATTGACAAGCTAAAGCATTTGGTTGCTCTAATTATATCTGCCTTTGATGGAATGTTATTGTTGCAACGGATAAAATACTTTCATTTCAATTCACATAAGAAATACTTCCAGTTAGTCTAACAGTTCAGGTCATTTATTAATAGTACAAATGATGGAAATAAACAAATTCAACTAGCACGGTTTATTTGAAATCATTTTGAAGTCACAGTGTGTAACATCACCATCTAGCTAGTGTCAAATAGTACACGATAAGGGAGACCATAATCTAGAGTTTCCTGTACTTACTAAGAAGACATATGAGAAGACTTGAAAGTTACAATTGTATATATATATATATGAATAGAACAATAAATTGACTTCATCATTTCAATATTACATATTATTCACTAAAAATATATACATCATAGCACTTGAGGTCATTTATTAATAGTACAAATGATAGAAATAAACAAATTCAAATAGCACGGTTTATTTGACATCGTATGGAACCATAGATTCTGCTTAAAGAATAAGCCACAAATAATCAGTGAGTTGTTATTATTATTATTATTATTATTATTATTGTCCATTATATTGGTGATAACACTACTAAACTAAATTCTGGATTAAAAATAACACAATCAAAATGTTTTTTTTCAAGCACACAGTTTCATTAGTTTATTGCCTTCCCCATTCTAATGTGGTGTATTCATCGATAGTGAACTTTTGGAAAAAAAAACTAACGGATAAACAAATGAGGTCAATTGATGAATGTTAGTGGTGAGAAAAATTACAACAGTAATTTATGAGGGATAGGAATATGTCAGAGATTAGCATTGGTTAACCTATTTACTGGGTTGTACTTTTTGTCTCAAGATTTTATCTGACTATAAAAAGCTGAATTTCATTCTTAGACTTTAAAGTTATTACGTATTTGATTTGATTAAGAATAGACAGTATACAAAGAATTCTACTGCATTTGTAGACTATTCTCAAAGAAAAATGAAAAGTTTATACTTGTTCGTTTTATTCAACTGTTTACAGAATATTATGTTCATCACTTGTAATTTATGAGGGATAGGAATATGTCAGAGATTAGCATTAGTTAACCTATTTACTGGGTTGTACTTTTTGTCTGATTAACATGTGACTTATATTCATTGTTCTTACTTTCTTCAATCCTCATAGAAATGTAACAGGTTTATCGCTGGTGATATTGTTGTTTAAGATTTCAGTCATATTTACGAATATTACTGAACGGTATGTTTTGGCTTGTGTTCTTCTATCTTGAAAGGATAAGTTCTCAACTTATCTAGTTTTTACCCACGTCACTTTGTTTATTTATTTGTTTGCTTAAAAAATGATTACTGATGCTAGTGGGCACCAAAATATGAATGCATAATACAAATTGAGATTGTAATGTGTTAGGCTATGATAGTTATGTGTAACAAGCATGAACAAAATTGGTGTGAACTAGTCTATATTAATGAAAACAATAATACTAATAACTATACTAACAGCAGCTGTTCAGATATGAAAAATGCAACCATGAAGGATTCTTCCATATAGTGAAGCTCTTCTCACATAAATAAAGAAAATGTGGGAAATTTGCAATAGGATGGCTGTTCGTTCTGATTTCGATCCATGTGTATTAAACTACCTCCATGTTCTCAATTGGATGATCTTGAATAACCAACAGACAACAGTCCTGTGAAGCTTTATTTCTTACCACAGCATGAGAGAATTATATGATGACTGTTTAGTGGCCCGTGCATCTGAGTTCAATTAGATCGTACGAATGTTTGATATCGCCTGTCCTCGTATATAATCATCGACTTAAATCGCGTTAGTCAATAACGGAATTATGTAAGTTGAATAACGAGAATGGACTTGTGAATACACATATTTTGTACATAAAGCTAATGGAATAGAGAGAAGAGAAATGATGCGCAGTGGGTGGTAAGCTAACTCCCATTTAACCAAGCGTTAATCAATATTTATAGTTACACAAAAGTAAGTTACAGACATATGATGAGTAATGGGATAAGAAATGTACACACACCTACGCCCTCATATAAAAACAGTCAAGATTAGTAAGCGAATAAATAACAAGGTCAGAATATGACTCAAGTAGAATGAATAGAATGGGCTGTCCGAAACCTAGAATAAGGTATATGGGCATAACATAATAACGGACGCTTCAACTGAAACTCGAAAAAATGCCACTTATTATTCAACTTACGACGGTCTCTGTGGAAGTAAACTCTTAAAAGCATGTCTATTAGTTCGTGAAAATTTAAGAAAATTTACTCAGCGTAAATTAACAGTCCTCCAAGAAAAAATTTAACCATCAAAAAGTGCATAATATACGAGAAAATCTGTTGAAATAACAAAATAGTGGACTTAACAAATATGAATTCGTGAAATATGATTGTTTCACACACAATTTCACTGAATTCGCTTTTACTAAAAATGTATCCAAGTTTACTTGAATAAGTATGTTAAATTTTGGAAGAATCCAGCATTAGCTCTTTTGCCAAGTTAGAAGGATCACATCTCCCATTGAAACTGAACAAATAAAAAAGTTCTTCAAATACAAGAAAGACTACTAGAGTATATAAGTAGTTAAATATCTTTCATGAAAAAAAAACAAGCTATCTAATTTTTAATATCGTTAACAAATTGGTCTTTGTATAATCCTAATTAATATGTTGACACTCAACAAATTAAGTTGTAATTTACTCTGTTGAGTTAATAAAAAATTATTATATAAAAACTATATAACTGTGAGAAGTAACTGTAACGATGGAGAATATCCTTGACGGACAGTAGGTGAAAGATCAAACAACAATAATTAATTGTATTGTTCATAGTTCCACAATATTACGAACTGACTGAAGTTGAAATTCGCTCTTCGTTATGTAGAACAAGAATATTGAGACTGATACGTGTCCAAAACATTCAAAATTCTAGACGAAATCAAGGCATAATTCATTACTAAAATGCGGTAGAAACCAGAAAAATAATATTTGTCTAGTGACATTGTTATTTAACAGTTTTCCAATAGATTTTGATTGGTAGTAAACAGTAACTCCAAAATAATTCCCATTTCGGCAAATCATCCTTCTGAATAAAATTTAGTACTTAGTGGGTAATATTTACAATGACTCCATATCATTCAGATACGTTAATGTGAAGCAAGCACTGATGATTTTATTTAGAATGATAACGACAGCTCCATAATCAAAACATTCAGTATTAAAAAACCATCATCAACAAGAGATCAGTATTATATATAACTACTGAAGGTTAAACGACGTTTTCATACTTCGACTGATCACCTTTAAACTCCGAATCGTCAAATTTTGAAGAAGATGGAAGATATCCATCTAATTCAATTTATCCGTTTTAAGATTTAGCATTTCTTTGGTTTATAGGATATTTCAAGTTAGATAACAATTGCACCCATAGGGCTGCTGAAGTAATAAAATAAATTTTTATATGAAATTATCGAATCTAACAAACGAAATAGATCCGAGCATCCGAAATGAATTTTCATGATCAAACAAATATCTATTTCACTTTAGTTCCATAGATCATTTAACAAGATCATATCATAATTTTCATAACTTCATTTTCCTAAAAAAATAGCAGTACTTATCAATGTAAAAAAAACTGATGAAAACGCAACGAAACATCTAGATGATGTTAAATATTATATACGAACCATTAAACAACCATAATTAAAGTACGCATTTTAAACATCATACTCTATGTGTTATTTTTAAAATTATTTTTATTTAAGGATTGTGATTGAGATCATGAACCGATTGATGTTAGACCACCATTGGGAACCTGTAAGCACTGGAACTTCTCAGCAGTGCGCATCAACGATCTCACTCGTGGGATTCCGACCCAGGGCCTTCAGTCTCACGCACGAATGCTGAACCTCCAGACCACTGGGCCGGCATCCAACGGTGTCTGACCTAATTAAAGATTATCTGGTACTTAAAGGAAACTGGTTACAGCACTGAAGAATCATTCATATAATAAATGGTCCAATTATATGTATCATAATCACCTTAAAGAAACAGAGCAAATAATTCATATTTAAAATTCAAAGTAAGTTCCTGTAATAAATCTAGTTCGTAAAGCCAACTTTGATGAATATTTTAGTGTTAACAGCATAACTGGTTTATGAGATTTTATTAGATTTTAGTTTCAATTAATGTGTTTAATATAAATTTCACTATTCATTGACATGTTTTCTATGTTTAATATCTTCCTTTTTCATGTATGCCTAATCTATGAACACTCACTTATATTGGTATACATTGTTTCTATTTGAGAGGAAATTTTCCTGCGTTGAAAAACTGTAATATTTTCTTAGAAATTCTTTTCTTCTATACTATTTACTATGAAATAATAGCCAAAATAATTGTTATAATTAATTAAATCTTTAAAATAATTTCCACTGTCACTTCCATTTCGTTGTACTTTGTCATGTTCTTCATTATTTTCATCATGTTTATAAAAAAAACATTCAACTTACTAATTCTGATAAAACTCTTTTTTGACATTTTTTTCTAATTCCCATTATTTTACTTCAACATTGTCAATCATTTGATCATCATTTTTAATACTGACTATTAAAGCCTTACTTATGGTAAATCTTAAATAGACTAAATAATACGTAGTATAACAATAATAATTTGGTTTCACAATCTCGGATAGGATTTAATTCCTGATTTTAATCCTTGAAAAAAGTATGGTAAATTTAAACTACTGAGTTTAAATCTTATGTGCTAAATATTCAACTTAATAATAGTTCATTATGTTCGAGAAAAAACATTGGACACATATTCACGATTTACTCAAACATACATGAAAAATAGCATCTATTGTTAGGAATGACTAATATCTCTTTCATAACAACAACGTCAGTCAGAATGAAAAAAATGTTACCATTTTGCTGAATGTTCGCTAATGTGCAAGTTCAACAGTTCTTAAATCTGACTTTGACTATACATGCACAAATTATACTGATAGTACTATAAAAGATTATATTTCTTGCTATGTAGAAATAACAGGAAGGATAAAGAACTTAAGCACTTTTCATTTCACGTATTACTCACTAACAACTTATCAGTAAATCTATGACTATGTATTAATTAGATTCTTCGTTTGTCCTAAAAGGATTGATTAGTTGAATCAATTATTCAGACTAAACTATTTAAAATGAACTATGGCCTTTAAAATCTCATGAAATCATCAATCATTCATAAATTAGGTTTATCTAACTATTTTAAGTATTAAAATAAACTATCAAACAACTGACTATAAAATTTCTTGAAATGCCTAGAAGTACTTGATTATTTTCAGATCTAATATTTTCAATATCATTAGTATAAGAATATACTTTAGTTTCAATAAGCAATAAAACATGGTATATTTAAATCTATCCAATAACTATTCGTAGACTTCAAAACCATCAACTCAAATAATTCTTTGTTCAGTTTTTCAACATTATCGAAACAAAGCATTAAAATACTAGTTATCTAACAAAAATACTCGTTTTCTATGAACGTTTACTCTTCAAGTAACCATTCAACTTTATCAGTTATATTAATGTCCATATGTTCATTCATTTTTATAATGTAAGCATAAACCATTCTAATTTGCTTTTGCATATTTCATATTTCTCACAAGAACAACAACAACAAAATTATCAAATTAAAATATCTACAAACGATGTACAAACAAAAATTAATAAACTTTATCAATAGTTAAAACTGATATCATTGTCAGAAGGGGTTTTGTGAAGATTCTAGTAATTTCAATAGTTCAAATCAACAGTGCGCATCTACTATCCCGCCTCGTATGAGATTCGAACCCAGGACCTATCAGTCTCAATCTATACTAGGACGAAACGGTTGTCCAGTGCTTTCAGGTTTTCTATGGTGGTCTAGCTTCAACTGACTCATAATTTCAACTATTGATATCATTATATTAAAAAGAGAACGGTTACATTTCATTAAACCTACGTTTATTTCCTATCAATTTGTCTATAGCAAAGCTTATGATACTAATGAACATTTATTTATTTTGTAACTAATTATAAAATATACTTAGTGTGAAAAAAATAAAACGCATAGATACTGACCATATTGATTTTAATTATTATCCAACATTGTCTGAAAACAAAAATCGAATAGTTGGAAAAAAAAGTGAGTTTAAAAATAGTGTTAATAATTATATAACTTGACATAAATAAATGAACAAGATATTTACTTAAATACTTTAAATAATGTTCATAACAAGCAAAAGGTAATCGGAAATTTCGGCAAGAGAGAGAGAGAGAGCAAGAGGGAGAGGGAGAGAGAGAGAGAAAAACACCAACAAAATCATATACATGCATGAGTTTAACAATAAAGTGAAAAAACAAGTTGATTGAAGAAGAAGAAAAAAAAGAAACAAACATAATTATTGTTTATTGATGATGTAATGAATTTAACATGTAAGAGAAAAAAAAATCTATAGTGTGAGAAGGCATAAACAGTGATTTATTGTATTAGAGTTAATATTGTCAGTAGATAGATAGATAGATAGATATATTCGTATAGTCATACTCTGAAGTATTGATTTTGATCATTTTTACAATTGTTCATTTCAATTAGATACTTTTATTTCCCTGATGTGAAAGTTTTTGATTTGTTATAAGAGAGAAATAAACTGATAAATAATAATAATGTAATTAATAAATATTAGATTTATTATTAATAATTCGATATAGGCATTGTTCTTTAGCTATTTCTGGTTTTAAACCCATTAATGTCCAATCACATGGATTATAAAATGAATGATTACCACCACATGTAATTTGTTCATAATTTAATTCTTTCATAAATTCTTTCTAAAATTAAAAAAAAAATGAATTCAATAAGTAACATGTTAAAGTTAATATAGTTTTAAGTAGAAAGATTTTACTTTATAATAAATTCCCATTGATTGATGTTATTCTATTAAACATATTTGAGTACTAGTTTGTTGTTAGTAGTATTATTCTATATTGTTTTTAAATAATGCACTTGAAGATATTGGTCTTTTTAATTACGAATACAATATAATTCATTTCTAGCAGAAATAAATTTATCAATTATAACATTATATTCTACTACTTTGAATGATCAATTATATGTAATGAACTAGATACACATCTAAATCCTATTGAATATACTCCGTAATGACATTTTAAAGAAGAATAATACGATACGTTTACGAAAAATAGAATTTAATGAAGAAAATTTCGGTGAAACTACAATTTATAGACGAACTAATCAGGTATAAGATAACAGATCTCAGATTTTAGCGCAAAATTCACTCAACCATCTAGCTAAATAGAGTTTAGACATTATAGCTGATATCAGTTCGTGATGAAAACCTGGAATCTAATTCTTAACCTTAACCATTAAAAGTCATCATTCTAATTCTTCACATTGGTTTATAACCTTCATTTGGTTCTAGTTATTAGGTGGACACTCTCAAATTCAGTTTAGCATTACTCAAGGATCGCAAATGAATTATAGTCTCATCAAAATTTTCTTTTCAAAACAACCATTTACTTAAGCTATATAGGCATATGTATACTTATATGGAAAATATATGCCTATTAAAGGATAGAAATGATTTCGTCGGGAAGATAATTTTCTTTGTTGAATTCTCCTTTTCTTATTCAATGATGTAATGGGTTATTTTAGATATGGTTACATTAGTTAACTTCAATCATTTGAATTCATGTAATATTAGAAGTACTTTTCTTTCCATATAAAATCAATCAAATAAAAATGTCAAAGTTTATGTACTTTATCTTATACTCTCAACATATTTTTTTGGTTTGTTTGTTTGTTATTTTATTCATTTGATAAAATAGTTTTATTTTAAAATATTTAAATTATATTTGACTTACCATTTTTGAATTCGTTTCCCAAACAAAATGATATGACCCATAAGTTGTTGCTCTTAAAAATTGTTCTACTGTATATTTAATTAATGCTCGATTAATTTCATCTTTTGATGCAACTCTAAGTGTTGATACATATGCTGAACTAGATGGTATTCGTTGATATTTGGTTTAGCCCATTCATAACATTTTGTAACAAAGTCAAGAACTGATGTTATCATACCAGGTGCATACATATCACCTAGTTTAGAGGTTGATAAAACTAAATTAGCACCATTCAATTTACTTTCTGAATTATCAGATTGTAGAGTTATCTAAGAAAAAAAAGTCAAAAAAATGATAATAACCATGAGGTGAGCATATATTAGAATATTTCAATGACTATTGTAAAATAATCACTTATGTTCAACAACATACAGGCGGTTAAAATTAGTAAAGAACATAAGAGATATTTTTTTATGCATCTCAGTAAAACTCTCGAGCACATATATATTTTAAAGACGGATGAAGAAAATAAAAATACTTACAGAGGATAACAATTGATCAGCAGATTTCCAAGCAAGATATATATGTGTATAATACATTGAATAAGGAATTTGTAAGTCATGTACTTTTGCTTCACTTTCTTCCGTGCGATTAGTGAAATAACTAACAATTCGGTATAGTGGTGCACTGGTCATTGTTTTTATCACATAACCTTTGTCAGATGAAATACTTTGGTAGATTTCTGTGCCTTCTGATTTTGAAACGTTAGGATATAATAATCCAACTGTATTAAATTTAGAAGAACTCATAATGGTAGGTGATAATAATGCACAAATGAAAATGTACGTAATCATTATCCTACAAATAAAATAAAATAAGAGGATGAAATAGAAAATATGTATATTTACCTTTTGGGAAATTTTAAATATTCACTTTATAAATTGTAACTAAGAGTTTATCACGTTTATTATCTACTTATCGTGTGGATATTTATATTGTTCTTAAACCTATGAGAGACTTATGATTTGGAAGTCATACGTTTGATTTATTTTCTTTTTAACCAATCCCGTTAATAAGCTATAAGAATAATAATTTCCCCTAGATATTTTCCACCTTTATTCACACTAAGTAAAATTTATTTTTAACGAGATAGTATTGGTTAATAGTATACATCCCTTTAATAATAATGCTAATATTATTTAGTCAGTATACTATTTGAAAAAATATATATGAGCAGGGACAGTAAATTAAAGCAGGTAAATATAGCTAGAGATATTTAAAGGATAGATTATTTCAAATTCTTAGAATGAATCTTATTATTTAACCAATAATAAAAATAGAATGTATAAATTAATAATTTTAACCCTAAATTGTAAAATAAATTTATTTAGTTTGTATTTGTAACTAAGTAAACTTTTAGTTTCTCGTGTAACATACTTTCTGATGAAATCATTAAAATATTTTTTATATCTGTGTAATCTTAATTAATCATTTACTCAGTTCTGATAATAATCACCTGCTCACTAGTGACTGACTTCAAAAGACACTCATGGAATTCTAGTGAGAAGCCGTGACCAGTGGAATTCAACCAGGTCTGTTGTGAGATATCAGCTCATTGAAAACAATGGTGATGGTGGCGCAACTTCGTGAACTGGTCGAAGTTAGACATTAACACCGTTGAATGTCGGCTGGCTCAATGGTCTAATAGTTAAGCGCTAACGCGCGAGACTGATAGGTCCTGGGTTCGAATCTCGCGGGGAGCGGGATCGTGGATGCGCACTACTGAAAAGTTTCATACTTGGACGAAACGCCCGTCCAGTGCTTCCAGGTTTTCCATGATGGTCTAGTTTCAATTGACTCATGATTTCAACTATTGAAATTCATTAATTGTTGAATATGTATGAATAATTAACTTGCTCATTCATCTAGACACCCTATCAATTCAGTAGGAACTGTTTTCTGAAAACCTTAAATATTCACTTTATTTCAATCATGACATGATAAACTTGATTTCCTTATGAGTAAGAATGAATATGCCTCAATGACTGTAAAGTAATTAGAAGAAAGTTACCATTAGATGTAATGTTTATAACAATATAATTTACATATGAGGATGGTATACGTTTATTAAGTTCATAAAATTTCAACAGTACTCATTCATTACAGTTACTTTACAAGATTAAGATACATCCATTACTTCAATAATAATATGTATAGTACATAATAAAGATTTCAAATAAATATATACAAATCTATTTCATTTTATGAAAAATCACTGCGTTTTATGTTTTCTACTTAGAACACTTCATAAGAGTCTTAAGTAAGACAAAAACGTCAATTATTTGTTAATTATAAAATATTTTTTAAACAGAAACAGAACATAATTATTAAGTCAGTTAAAAATCAAAATTGCAGTTTCACAAATATTATTGTTTGATGTTCATTAGTATTTCTCTAAGATGTTTTATCTATATTAGTTGGAGATAGTCATTGAAAAATCCAAACTGGACAAAGATTTCATGATATCTAGCATTCATCATCAAAACACTTTTGTAATCTTAACAGAACCGACGTCTCCCTAATGAATTTGATCTCTTGACAACAAGCTCCATAGTCATAGGATTCACTACTGAGTTATTCAGGACGTGATTGATTTCCTGTAATACTTAGAATTTCACAAATAATTAATTACTCAGTTTTTTTCTAGAGCTGATCGAGTTCTACCGATCATCACAAACTGCATATTAAACTAATATTAAATGAAATCCTTAAATATCTTACTAAATAGTCAAATATGTAAAACACTTTTTCTAAATGTTTATCGCATCTTTTCTATTTCTGAAATTTTACATATTTTGTCATCCTACTCTAAGTTTAAAGGGTATGTATTTAGTTGTTAAGTTGAAAATAATAATAGTAACCAGAGAATTTTCTTACTGATCATGAGAATCAGTAAAAATAAACTATTCATGTAAACGTTTTTTTAATTTGAATTGGATATATAGTTTCTAGGAAGATGTTTGTAAATCTCATTATTTAAGATATTCACATTATTATTATTATTAAATATAATGATAAATCGTACGTATAAAACACCAAAACAAAATAATAATTAAGTACATTAAAGCAATCAGTCCCTTTGATAAATTTCGATAAAGTAATAAGACGAAGATTATCAGAACTATGTGATATATTAGCGCAATACATTTAAAACAATCTGATCATACATATACGTGTTAAGAACATTTATATATACAAATAAAAGGTCAACTATACTGGAAATGGGGTAAGAGGAGACAAGGATAATTATAAGAGTATATGTGTGATCAGATAGTTCAAAACTTATTGCGCTAATATATGGCATAGTTCTGATTATCTTTGTCATCTAAGTACATTAAATTTATAGTTAAATGTTAATTTTATATAATGGAAAACTGAAATGAAATATCATCCAAATTCATTTAAAACTAACTCATTATTGGTAGAATTTTATAGTTTAGCTAATATACTACTGAATTCATGTTAGTTTTTTTAGCTATTTCAATTCAATCTAATTCAGTTACAATTCTTCTAAAGTATCTTAAGTATCTGAACACGAAAGTTATATCCATGGAAATTAATCCTAAATACTTTGTCGTTAATATTTTTCTTTCATTTTCTTTTTAATTTTTTGAACTTTCTGATTGATTTATAATTTAAAAACCTGTAATCTTTTTTTAAAAAAAAAAACTAAGTTTCAGTAAAACAATAATTAAAACAAGCTTTCATTACTTTTGAAATTAACTTATTTTTTCTGGTTATCGTTTTTTTAGCGAGTTAGTTTTCTATGGGTTTGGTTTGCTAACCCTATGCCCAACCCTCTTCCTTTATCCGGATTTGGAACCGGTAATAGCCCCAGTTGGGCTCCAGGTGGAGTTTTTGAAATTAAGAAATAAACTAACTATGTAATGAAAACATTGTTATATCATTTAATCATTCGATAATGAGTGAAACTTATTCTAAAGAATATACACAAATATAATAAATAAGTTTCATTAAAAAACTTGCAGTCTCTTTTCTGAAAAAACGTGCATACAAAGAAGATGAGAAAGAAAAAAAATGAACTTCAGACAAACTGGCTTTATTTTTTCTGTTGTTAATTATTCACCGAATTTTAATACTTTGTTATTCTTGTACATTTCACCAACATACAATTCCTTCTTATTTACAGTCGGATAACATCAAAAGTTTGTTCGAAAAATGAAAAAAAGAAGTGATGAACATTTACATGCAACATTTGAAGTAACAAAAATAGGAAAAGGAAAACAAAAGTTAGTTGCATGCAGTTGAACTAAACTGGTTCAGTAAGAGTGATTTTTTTGTTGTTGTTATATTTATCTACTTATTATTAGTAGTACTATTACTGTTATAATAATTATTAATGACATTAGTGTCCATTAACTGTGATGTTTATAAAATATATAAATGTTCAAATATATATAAATATATTTCCAGTCTACCACAAACTTAGTATTATAATAACTTTAAAATAATAAATTAAATAGAGTTTAACTATTGTAACTATTATGCAATCAGTCAGTATTAGTTCAACTAGACTCTTTTCGTAACCGTTTTTAATAGTTTTATTAAATGTGAAAAACAACGATGAAAAAATACAAAAAAAAGAAGGATGTTTCCTTTCTTTATCACCAAAACTAAATTTACTGATTACTAAAATAAATCAAAATGATGATACATTAAATAATACATTTTCATTAGAAATTTTACTATAGTCGACGTCATTGGCATTAAATGCTTATAGTATATCAGGCGTATAATTGTGAACTGAATCATTGTATAGTAAAATTTATAATTGTTAAATGTCTAAAAGAGTGCTATTCATAGACTATAAGATTATTATGTGATCTAAATGTCAACACTAAATTTTGTAACATTTTAATGATAAAACTAGCGAATGTGTTAATACTTCAATATTCATAAAAGATGAAAAAAAGAATAGTTGAATTTTAATGACTACCCTGACGTGCAATGTTTTATGGTATAGGGGTAGGTTGGAAGAAAGCTAGGAGTGGCCAGAATAAAACACGGCACAAATCCATGAAGTCACAACAGACCGGGTTGAACTCCCTTCTGATATGAATCAACGAATACTCACTAGTGATTAGCTTCAAGAGATATTCCTGGAGTTCTAGTGAGAAGCAGTGACCAGTGGAATTCAACCGGCTCAGTTGTGAGATATTAACTCACTGATGGCAGTTGTGGATGTGTCGCTCAATTTCGTGGATTGGTTGAAGTTAAACATTAACACTGTTGGGTGGCGGCCGGCTCAATGGTATAGTGTTAGGCGCTCATGTGTGAAACTGATAGGTCCTGAGTTCAAATCTTGCAAGGCAGGATAGTTGACGCCCACTACTGAGGAGTCCCACGATGGGACGAAACAACCGTTCAGTGCTTTCAGGTCTTCCATGGTGGTCTAGCTTTAATTGGCTTATGGTCTCAACCATTGAAATTACTATACTATCCACAAAGACCCTTCTGATATAAAAAAATAATAGTTAAATTTTAATGAATAGTATAGTACTGTTTTTGGGGAATTTTAAAAATATTGCCAACAGCATCATTCTGTATGATCAAATAATCAAAATTATATTTTCCCAACATTTATCTTAGTTATCTACTGCAGTTATACATATCAAAAATATAAAAGATAGTCAACTAATTCCAAGAAACTACAATGGAAGTAAGCAAAGATGGATAGTGGCTAGCAGTGGGATCCAGGACGCGCGTTACGTCCTATTTGAGACTCGTCAGCTAGATGTACATGCATCTCAGAGTAGATGTTCCTTCTGAGACTCGAA